ACAAATTTCACCCACTCTCTTTATTCCAATGAGCGCACGGCTGTTGCTTGACATTTCCTCCAGATGCTACATTAATTTAGAAGTAAGAGCTTAAGGACAATAATCACAAAAAATTTATAGCCTAGGGTATTCCTATGGATTAACCGATCCAGGTTAGGTTTCTTACCTTGATAAGCTCTTTGCGAGCTTCTTGTAGCTCGTCATTGGCACGTCTTTCCTTGACAACTACAGTTTGATTAAGACCCTCCAGAGCTTCCATTTCTTCAACTTTGTCCTTCAGTTCTTCATCCATTTCATTCACTTTCCTCTTTAGTGCTGCATCTTCTTCATCACCCATTTGTTTCATTACCTGTGTATTGCTTCTAAGCTGTTGGATTTCCAGTTCCATTTTGTGTTTATGAACTAACTGCTTCTCTAATTGAATTATCGCCTACTTTTTCTTTTCATGTATAACTTTGTGGTATCAAACATAAGTCTCAACCAAGAAATTTACTATGCATGATAAATTTTTTTTAGAGTTTAACTAACCTCCTGTTTTTAAGAAGGGTCAAAGCATCTTCATCAGCTCTTTAGTTGTGTCATTTGAAGAGTTGTTTTTCATTTCATTCTGCACAAATCTCGTATTTATCATTTTTGCATGTGACTGCTACGCTCATGCTACAGATGCCATGCAATGAATACTTTTTACTTTTAAAACAAATATGTGTTATTCCAAGCCACCCTACCAGTCACCTACCAGCCACCCTATATCATCCTACCAGCCACCATATATCCTAGCCGCCTGTAGCCTTTTATTTAAGCTTTCTCACGATCAATTTCTAATCACAATTCCAATCATGGGTTTATGTATGCTCTTTTAATTAAATTGTTAGTTTGTGAAAATCATCTTGTTCTAAGATCTTGGTATTATGATTAATTAAATTGCTATTTAGTCGATACTAATTGAATTAGGGTAAAATCGTTTGTTACAATTGATTAAAATTGCAAATTTTTTTTACACATGATTAATTATTATTGTGTCAAAACGAATGAAAATAGGCAAATATCATGGGTTATATAACCCATGATAATCGTGAGTTTTGAAGTATATGCATATTTATTTGTCATTGAGACAAGGAAAGAAAATTAACAAAAATCATGGGTTACAACCCCCTAAAAATCGTGTATTTTGAAGTAAGCATAGTTTGTTGCTATTGGGTCAAAATAAATGAAAACGGGTAGAAATTGTGGGTTACAAGCCATGAAATTGCCATTTTTGAATTGTACGCGTAATTAATTCCCATGAGGTCGAAACATGAAAATATAAAAATCGTGGGTTAAGCCAGTGAAATTGTTAATTTTAAGGTATACATACCTAATTGCTAGTGTGCCAACGAACGAAAATTGAGAAAATCTTGGGTTGTAGCCCTTGAAAATTGCGAATTTTGATATATGAATAATAAAAATTGATAAAAATCTTGGGTGGCCCATGAAAATCGTAAATTTGGAAGTTCGTATAATTAATTGTCATTTAGTTCTAACGAGCTAAAGTTAACAATGATTATTTAATTGCGAGTTTGAAATGTTTTTAATTAATTGCCATTGGGTGGAAATGAACAAAAATGGACAAAAATCGTGAGTTAGAACTTATTATAATTGTGAATTTTGAAGTGCACATACTTATTTGTCCTAGGCAAAATTAAAAGAAAATAACAAATTCTGGGTTAACTAAAAATCGAGAATTTTGAAGTATGCATAATTTGTTGTAACTAGGTTGAAACAAATGAAAATGCCCAAAAATCATGAGTTATATCCCATGAAAATTGTAAATTTTGAAGTGTATGACTAGTTAATTATCATTAGGTCAAAACAATACAATAGTGGACAATATTTGTGGGTTAAAACTCATGTAAATCATGAATTTTAAGGCACACATTTTTCTTTGTCATCTGGTCAAAAAATGAAATTGATAAAAACCGTTTGTTATTGGGTCGAAACAAAGAAATAATTTCAAAAATCTTGGGTTACAACCTTTGAAATTTGCGATTTTTGAAAATCATGTATAATATCATATGAAAACCCAAAATTTTGAGGTACACATAATTAGGCCTCATTGGTTCGAAATGAGCGAAAATAGAAAAAAATCATGGGTTATGTAGCCAACGAAATTCACAAATCTCGAAGTGAATATAATTACTTTTTATTGGGACTAAATGAATGAAAACTGTCAATATTGTGGGATTTTTAAATTAGTTATAGTTAATTGATGTTAGGTCGATTGAGTGATATCAAACAAAAATCGTGGGTTATTGCCCATGAAAATCATGAATATTGAAGTTTACACCGTTAACTGTTGTTAGGTCTGAATAGACAAAATCGGAGAACAATAATAGTCTGGTCCATGAAAATAATGAATTTTTAAGTGCGCATGCCTATCAAAATTGTGAATTTTTAAAGTAGTTCTAATTAGTAGTTGTTGGGTCGATCAAATGATAACATTTAAAAATTATGGGTTATTGTTTATGAAAATTGTGAATAGAGATAATTGCACAATTAATTGCTATTAGGTTTGAACAGACAAAATTGGAGAAAAATCATGGACTAACCCATGAAAATAATAAAATTTTTAAGTATGCATACTTATTTTCCATTAGATCGAATAATGAAAATTGACAAAAGTCATGGGTTATAGCCCATGAAATTTACAATTTTTGAATAAAAATTAATTTCTATTGGGTTGAAACTAAAGAAAATAGACCAAAATCGTGGGTCTCAACCCATGAAAATTGTGAATTTTTTTGTATACGTCTAATCACCATGCGATCGAAATGAATGAGCAATTACTATGGATCCTAATCCATGAAATCACGGGTTTTGAAATTTACTTAGTTTATTGCCAGTTGGCCCAACTGAAGAAAAATTGACAAAAATGATGGGTCATAATTCATGAAAATCATGAATTTTAAAGCATTATTTACATTGCGTCAAAACGAACAAAACTAATAAAAACTGTGGGTTTTAGCCCATAAATCACAATTTTTTGAAGTACACATAATGAGTTGGCATAAGGTCGAATCAAATGAAAATGCACAAAAATCGTGGGTTATATAACCCCTAAAAATTGTGAATTTGTAAGTGTAAGACTAATGAATGTCTATTAGGTTGAAACAGACAAAAAAGATTAAAGCCTATGAAAATCATGAACTATAAGATGCACATACTTATTTATCATTGGGTCAAAGAACGTAAATTGACAAATTGTTGGTTATACTCCATGAAAATTGTGTTTTTTGAGAAAAGAAAACTTAATTGCCATTGGTCGTAACAAACGATATTGAAAAAAATTGTGGGTTAGCCCGTGAATTTCGCGAATTTTGAAAATTGATAAAAGCATGGGTTATAAACCATTGAAAACCACAAAGTTAAAAGTACGTATAGTTAGTTATCATTGGGTCGAAATGTATGAACAAAAATCATGGGTTATATTACATGAAAATCGCGAATTTTGAAGTATGTATAATTACTTCTCATTAGGATGAAAGAAACCAAAATTTCTAAAATCATGGGTTCTATATATATCTGATCAAAATCGCGAATTTTGAAGTAGTTATAATTATATGCTATTGGGTTGAATGAATGATAATGGATGTGAGTTATAGCTATGAAATTGCTAATAGTGAATCTCATATAATTAATTGCTATTGGTCAAAATGGACGAAAACCATGAACGTCATAGTGAAATACTGAATACATATACTTATTAGCCATTGGGTTGAATAACAAAAATTGACAAAAATCGCGGCTTGTAGCCGTTGAAAATCGTGATTTCAATGGAAGAAAATTTAATTATCATAGGACTAAAACCAACGAAAATAGGTTAAAATTGTAGTTTATAATCCCTAGTAACCGTGTATTTTTTGGGATGCATGATTAATTGTCATTGAGACGAAAAGAACGAAAATGAGCAAATATCGTTGATTATAAGCTCATGAAATGCCAAATTTTGAAATATACTTAGTTAATTGTTATTAGGTAATTGTTACTAGGTCGAAATGAATAAAAATGAAAAAAACATTGGTTATAACGAAGGAAATTAACAAAAATTATTAACATTGAAGTACACATACTTATTTGTCATTGGGTCAAAACAAACAAAATTAACAAAAATCATGGGTTCTAGCCCGTACAAATCACAAAATTTGAAATATGCATAATTAGTTGTCATTGGGTCAAAACAAATGATAATGCACAAAAATTATGGGTTATAGCCCATGAGAATTGTAAATTTTGATGTGTACATCTAATTAATTGTCATTAGGTTGAAATAGACAATAATGGACAATTTCTGGGTTAAAGTCGATGAAAATCGTGATACACATTCTTCTACCATTGGGGAAAGAGTGAAATTGCACAAAATCGTTTGTTAGATAGAAACAAAAGAAAAGTAACAAAAAATTTGGGTTATAGCATATGAAATTTGTGACTTTTGAAAATTCTGAGTAATGGCCATGAAAATCGCGAATTTTGAAGTACACAAGTTATTTGCCACATGATCGAAACAAACGAAACTTGACAAAATTCGTGGGTTATAGCCTATGAAAATTGTGAATTTTGAAGTATGTATAATTACTTGCAATTGGGACGAAACGAACAAAAATTGTCTAAATCGTGGGTTAATCAATCAAAATTGAAAATTCTTAACTAGTGCCACTGGGTCGAATGAACGATAATGGATAAAAATCGTGGATTATAGTGCATGAAAATCGTGAATATTGAAGTTCGCACAATTAATTGATATTTGGTCAAAACAAACAAAGGTAGACAAAAATCATGAATTAATCCATGAAAATCACGAATTTTGAAGCACGCATATTTTTTTGCCACTGTGTCGAAGAAAGAAAATTGATAAAAATTGTTCCCATGAAAATCACGAAATTTGATAAATGCTCTAAGGTGTTACTTATGGATAATTTATTACTCATGGACAATTTATTAATCTTTTTCCTGAAACAATTCATCAGATTGAAGCAATTTTTGAGGGCAAAGCCTGTGCGGATATGCGTGGAGCTTCACTTAGTTTGACCAGGCGCTTAGCCCAGACTGCCCAAGAGACATTTGGTGATTTTGAAGAAGCAGTTGAAAAGGATGCTACAAAAACATCTGTGCAAGATGGAACCGTGCACCCTCTGACTAGCTATGTTATAAATTATGTGAAGTTTCTTTTTGAGTAAGTACATGCGTAGCTCTGTTTTCTTATCTAGTCTTCAAAATCATATTGCTTTGTACACAGCAGTCTTATGTTTCTTTGATTCTCCTGAATAGAAACAAATATTTACTTTCTTTCACTGTTAAGTTATTATTGTTCCGTCATATCTATATAGATATAACTTGTCATTCTTCTCTGTGCATTGTATTATGACTGATATGATTGTAAATTTTTGTTGAAGTTATACATCTCTCAAAGGAAGTGCCTCAAGTACATCTATTTCTTCCACCCAAACAGTGTTTCTAACAGTGGCGATGTAGTATGCACAGTAGCTGCTGTCATGGTTTGGGGTGCATGCCATGGCAGTACCTAGAGACACTAGGGAAAACTATCTTCTACAATTAGAGCCAATGCGATCTGCTATAGAAGCCACTAGCCAATACACTGTAAAAGTAGGATCTGGAATCTAGTTATAAAGTTTATTGTTAATCTCAAAGTTCGACCAAGTTTAAGCTGAACATTCTTTATGTACAAGCAAAATGATCATGTACTCTTAAATCTGATCCCTTCACTTGTTGTGTCAGCCAAATTAAAGTTGGTTATTTTTTAATGTCTTCAATAACATATGTGATTGTTCCTTTATAAGTTATAACATTTGCAATAACTAATATGGCTCTCATGATAACCTTTTCCTGAATAGATGTTTTATAGCTGAATAGAAACTAATGTTAATTAATATGCGTTAACTCAATTACTCGAATAGATGTTTGTTTCAAACAGAATGAAGTATGTTGTAATACCTGCTTCTGCATTCCAGTTCAATATTCTTGTTCACTTACAAATTATGAAACTATTGCATCCTGTAGTTGTTATCTATGATAGTTGATTTTTTAAGCAGGCCAATTAGTAAGCTTATTTATCTTAACAAGGTGTGTATCATTTATGTACAGCTACCAGTCCACACTGAAGCAGTTGTTCCAAGAGTTCGAAACTGAGGAAAATTCAAATTCTCAGCTGGCAATTGTAACCATGCGCATTATGCAAGCTCTTCAGAGTAACCTGGACGGAAAATCTAAGCAATATAGGGATCCTGCTCTGACTCATCTGTTCCTTATGAATAACATCCACTATATGGTCAGATCGGTTCGAAGGTACGCTTATATAATGTTAGAAAAATAAGACATCCAAAGTAAGAGGGAAACTAAGCAATCTCTTTCCTTGTTTTCAGATCTGAAGCGAAGGATCTTTTGGGCGATGACTGGGTTCAAAGACATCGAAGGGTTGTGCAGCAAAATGCAAATCAATATAAGAGGGTTGCTTGGGCTAAGGTTTTGATATGACAAACTAAACTTCATATGGATTAATATTTCTTACAATAGCATAGACCCTTCACGATATTGATCTTTTTCTTGGAACTTATTAAAAAAATCTTTTTTTTCCTATCTACTTTTTCTACAGATTTTGCAGAGCCTTTCTGCTCAAGGTTTGACTTCATCAGGTGGAGGCAGTGCTGTAGGAGGTGACGGAAGTAGTAGCAGTGGAGTCTCCCGATCAGCAATAAAAGAGAGGTCACCAACCATCGTAATGAATTGTCGAAGTTGACTCTTGTACATATATTTTCGTAAAGAACTGTCAAAGCTGACTCTTACTTTGCTTCATCAGGTTCAAGTCTTTCAATGTGCAGTTTGAGGAGCTTCATCAAAGACAGACCCAATGGACAGTACCAGACCCAGAGTTGCGTGAGTCTCTGAGGCTTGCCGTTGCTGAAGTTCTATTACCAGCATATAGATCTTTCATAAAACGTTTTGGGTTAGTTTCCCTGTAACTTCAAACTTTTAAGGCATTCGTACAATTATGATTTGCTAATGGTTAGTTTTATGAAGAAAATTTCATTAATCAGAGAGAGTCGAGGGAAGTGTCTATGTTTACTGCTGCTCGGAATCACGATGTTCCAGGACAGAATTAATCATAATTTCCCCCCTTTATATCCGTATGCTTTTGTGATCAGATTAACGTTTTTAAGCATACTTTCAAAACCATCAATGGCTTATGCCTATTAGATTCAGCATTACCTGCATCAATGATATATGATATGCCTGTTCGTTTTTGGCAATGCCTACACCATGCTTGTGATGATAACAATTAATATCACTGTTATCTAAATAAAGCATTTGGAGGCTTACATCAAACGTGCACTGGAAATTTTGTTGATAGGTTCTATGGCAAGTAAAAATGTATCAAAGAATTCTTAGATAATATGTTTACCAATCCCTGACAACTTTTTTCTCAAAGGTGGATTTTTTGTGGTCAAAAAATATAAAGTTTATGCTGTAGTTGACCTGCTCCCATGTTATTATAGATTTGCAATTGCCTGTTACTATGTTGTGGCTTCCTAACCATTTTATGTCAAATATTCCTTTCATGGTAATATCCCTGAACTCATCTTTGTTATTTATTCAGGCCACTTGTTGAGGGCGGGAAGAATCCACAGAAATATATCAAATACACTGCAGAGGATCTCGACAGAATGCTAGGCGAGTTTTTCGAAGGAAGGGCTACTGGAGCCTGAACTCCTGAAGTATGAAACCCTTTGTTGTGTGTAAATTTTTATGTTTTGATCTTACGTACGTCTACAGTGTGTAAATAAGAACTGTTTTTGGTTTCATTGTATTTAATTTGTCCTTTATGAGAATACTTCGGAGTTTAGTAGTGGGAGGTTTGGGCTTGTTTCATTGATGTCTTCTTTTCCTATAATTTTTTTTTAAATAACAAATAAAGCAACGTATGGAGGATATGTACTCTAAGCAGTGATTTTCAACCTCTGTCATGCCATTGATATTTGTATGTTGTTGACTATTGGTGGTGTTAATTTTGTTTCTTCTTCAAAGGAAATACGTACATAATTTGTTTTAAATCTTGTATAATAATCGTTATATGTGGCCTTAGGAAAAAGTGTAAATGCAATGAAATGCTTTGTAAAACTATGTTTTTGAGAATTTACATGATCAGAAAAAGTAACCAAGGCTTGCTGAGAGCGGGAAGGATCCTCAGAAATATATAAAAAGAAAGAGATATTACGTAAAGTCCGATTATGCACGAAACCAAAAAGAAATAGGAAAATTTTACGTTCTGCGTGAATCATGATCCTTTAGAATTTATACACTCGAGTTACTGAAATAACAATATTTAACTCATAACCCTGTACATTTAAAAAGAGGCTTCAACCATGGATGAGCCTATATAAATAAAATGATGCGTATTACGTTCTGCCGAGGGATCCCATCCTTTTTTACAAGTTACTAATGAAGCTTGCAATATTAGCATTCACTATTCATAGTACGTCCAAGGGAATAAAAAAGAGCATATTTGCAATAGGCGACAATGCTCAGATCAAATTTTATCAAGGTAGGGATGAAATATGGCAGATCCAAATTCTATTTCATAATAAATCCACACGGCAAGCTCCATCGAAGAGTAAAAGTACTTACTAAATTGCATGATTATGCAGCACAAGATGAATTAAGTGCTAATATTTATCAATAGACGTAAATCAACAAGTTTGTCTAAAATAGAACCAAATCCTGTTTCAAGAATTCAGCACACTGAGACACCAGAGCTCCTCCAATTAATCACAGTGCCTCTCAATTACAATAATTTGTTTTCAGCAATCCCAACAAATTCGAACCTGCAGCAAACAATGCAATCAACAAAAAGCCAACATAAAAAATATTAGGAAGGAGCAGAATGCGCTCAAATGCTAAGATTATCACAAATCTAAGTGTCACAATGAAAACCTCTTTGTTTAGAGTCTTGCTTTAAGCTCTGCAGCAACTGCATCAATAAACTCCTCGGTATTTAGATACTGGTCACGGGACACCCTGTAACATAACAAATTTTATCAGTTTCTAAATTGAAGGAGTTTGATATAAAAACAGTAGATATGAAGGCAAGATGGGGTACTTGGATCCATGAATAAGAAGCGCAAGATCTTTAGTCATCTTCCCAGACTCAACAGTTCCAATGCAAGCAGCTTCCAGTTTTTCCGTGAAATCAAGCAATCTAGCATTTTCATCTAGCTTTGCTCTGTTAAGATAGCAAGCAACAAATGATGATAAAGTTGCTGTTCTAGGTATCTGATGGCGACAATTTCAGGATGTGACAAAACAAATAAAATAATACATACTTTGTGCAGAAATTATTGGACCTACAACTTTAAAAAAAGATGTAATAAAACATGATATAATTTCATGCGAAGTAAATCAGTGAAAGCAGAACGTTTCTGTACCTGTGTGCAAGTCCTCGAGACCAAGCAAAGATTGAGGCAATGCTGTTTGTACTAGTCTCACCTCCTTTTTGGTGGACCCTGTAGTGTCGGGTTACAGTTCCATGAGCTGCTTCAGCTTCAATTGTTTTTCCATCAGGACAAACCTGAGACGGATAAAAATAAAATAAAAATAAAATCAGAAGTGAATATTAACCTGACTACAAAAGGAAAGTCCACGAAAACTAAGCGGTCGCTTACTATAGCAACTCAAAATCAAGTTACTATAGCAACTCCAAAATGATCTAATTCTAACATTCCATTCCCTGACAGATTTGGGAAATTCAAAGGAGGAACTTCTTGAGCTGTCAATTTCGACTAATCCTAATCATTGTAGTGCAATTAATCATCTACTTTAGGAGACAAGAGGCCAAGACCTTTTGCCAAGATCTTCTTTCTAATGCAAAAGGATTCTTTGCGACAACTACTTTCTTGGTCAAATTAATGACCCCTGGTGGAGTAAATGTGATCCAATCACATTCTTTCAAATGTAATGCAAAGTTTATTTACATAAAAGATCCATTATAAGTTACAGTATTCGATGGTTAGGCCTTGTAACATAAAACACAAAGACACACTAGTTATAGGCATAACATTCCGAGTGTGATGAACGTGTCAACAACTCAAAAGAAAATTGTCTAATAGATGCTTATTGTGCATTACATTTCAGATGCTTGATTTTACAGCTCATTTGTACAAAGAATCATGTTAGTATTGCACTTACCAGTACTGATGTCATCAGACCTAGAGATCCAAAACCTGGAGAAACACATAAAGTCATATTAGCGGAGAAGATATAAGATGCTAGAATTCAAATAAATTTAAGACTGCGCAATAAGCTACAAGAATGAAGTGTCGACCTTGAGCTAAGAAATCACTCTGGACGTCTCCATCATAGTTCTTGCAAGCCCAAACGTAACCACCCTGACTTTTCAGTGCATATGCAACCATATCATCAATGAGACGATGTTCATACCTGAGATTCACCAAAGCCATTAGATCAATGCAAAATGCTAAAAAGATTTGCGTGCATAAAAAATAAGTCATACTCACCATATTCCAGCAGCCTCAAACTTGGATTTCCATCCAGCTTCATAAACTTCCTGAAATATATCCTTGAACCTGCAGGATGGGAAAGCCATTTGAATAGTCGAGTATTGGATGGGTGTAGGTGGGTGACAGTGATGGAAATATAGTAGGTTGTTCCAGTAAAAAGCTATATGAGATTTACCTTCCGTCATACTTCTTCAGGATTGTGTTTTTCGTGCTCAGATAGAGGGGCCACTTCTTCTGGTAGGCTGTGTTCATCGAAGCCTCAGCAAAAGCACGGATGGACTGCACACAATTGAATAATGGTGCATTAAAATTAGCATCAAGGACAAGAATTTCAATTACATAGTCAGGGGATAGATTGAATACCTCGTCGGTGTTATACATTGATAAAGCCACTCCTCCAGCACCAGTAAAGTTAAAAACCTCTAATTGCACATCCTCTTCTTTTCCCTCTATGAAACACAAGCAAAAGATGTTAAGAACTTCTGAAAAATAAATACTGACTAGTGAACCAAAACGAAGCAACAAAATTATATACCTATAAATTGAATGTTCAAAAATATAAAAAAACAAACAAAAAGTATTAATTTGTTTCCGCATTATGAAGGAATAATGCAACATGAATAACAACTTATACCAAATACTAGTTTGAGCTTGCCAGGTCCTTTGACAACCATATCAGTTGCTCTATACTGATCACCAAATGCATGCCTTCCAATGCATATGGGCTTTGTCCATCCTGAACAAATGAAGATCAAAACTTCATAGGAAAACTGCAGCATTTTATCCAAAGTCGTTATTCTAAACATGAGACTTTTTAAGTACCTGGTATAAGACGAGGGACATTTTTGCAGATAATTGGCTCTCTGAATACAGTACCTGTAGAAATAATTCACACAATTACATAGTGTTTTCCTGAATAACAAATATACACTTGGCATGCATGATTAACGTTTGTCACTCAAGCAGCATAAATTATCACACCGTTCAATATATTCCTGATCGTTCCATTAGGACTCTTCCACATGGACTTTAGGTTGAATTCCTTCATGCGAGCTTCATCTGTATGTAAAAAGTTGCACAAAGATTAAAAAAAAGCAAATTCAATTAGCATTAAGGATTTAATAAAATGTTTTCTACAACTCAGCAGGATATTAAGAAAAAGGAACCACATGAGTAAAATAAGGTAAACTTTACCGGGAGTAATTGTTGCACATTTGATTGCCACATTATACCTGCAAAAGCGTCATATTAGTTTGACCATTTTCTTTTAAGGCAAATTTTCCTAATTTAAACAAACAGAACAAACTCGCCAAAGCTAAAACAGATACCAGTCGATAACTTTGAAAGAGAGAAGTCAAGAAAGCAACAAGATAAGTAGATCATTCATGATAAATTACTGAAGTTGCCTTTAATATGTTTATGGCTAGATGCATAAATTAATAAAAACCATAGGAATAACAGCTTCTAAAAGACAATGCTTACTTAAGAGTAGCTTCTGCACTTTCTACTGTAACCTTATCGTCCGTGGCATCACGGTTAGGAAGGCCTAGGTCAAAATACTTTATATCCAAGTCCAGAAAAGGAAAAATAAGCTGCAGAGTAAATCAAAACATCAACCTTTGTTATCACTGAATGGAAAGAAATACGGCATCAAAATTTATATTATCGAAACAGTGCTCTTGTTACCTTGTCTTTAATTGATTTCCAAAATACTCGGGTCATTTCATCCCCTGCATGATAGAATAATATAAAGACAGTTGCAAAACTTGCTTCATTATAAAAGGTAAAGAAATAAGGACAAATTTTCAAAACCGACCTGTTTTGAATTTTATTCCCAAAAAAGACCTATTTCAAACTTGATTTCAAAAACCGACTTAGTTGGTTGAAACTAGGTCGGTTTTTGAAAAAAAAAGTTCCCAAACTTCACGGGAGTTAAAGTCTCAGTGAAGTTTTTTATATAACAAAACTTCACGGGACTTCAACTCCCGTAAAGTTTGGAAATTTTTTTTTCAAAAACCGATCCAGTTTTAGCCAACTGGGTCGGTTTTTGAAATAAGTTTGAAATGGGTCTTTTTTTGGGAATTTTTTGGCAAACAGGTTGGTTTTGAAAATTTGTCCAAAGAAATAATGGTTCTTTTTCTTTAAAAGAAAATGATTTTTTCCTGCTCCCGATAAAGAAATTATATGCAATATAACATTTGCAAACGAAATTAAACAAACTTGCTATTAGATTGAATACAAGTCATATTGGTAACAGGTAGCCAATTTTTCACAAGATAGCTACTTTTATGCAAATTACAATTGCAGTTTCAGCAACAATTGCTACGAATCAAACAGCTTAATGATGGTCAGGTTCAATTAATTTCTATTATTTGCCACTTTTATAGGTTTTAAAAAATAATAATTGAGACGTAAAGCATGCGATTTCTACTTCGAAACTCACAAACCATGACCTAGAACTAATCTCAGATTAAATTCGGTCAAAATTTAGGTGAAAATATCTAAATCATCATTAAAAAAAGAAAACAAGAAAACAAGAAAACAGAACGGATCTAGGATCGGAGTAATCGGATCAAAAGAGATCTCACCGTCCATCTCGACGATGGGATTCGCGACCTTGATCTTTTGAAACGCCATTTTTGAGATGAGGTCGGAGGAATGAGCACGGCACCGGTGAGCGGCGAGGGTTTAAATAGTGACGATGAGGACATCCGGGCGACTGGCAGGCGTCGGTTTTAGTCACGACGGGAATGGGGACGGGTTACCGGGACTCAGGGGTAGTTTTGTAATTTGGATGGTAGCAGGCTTGAAATCCACTTGGGCTGAAGATGGGCCAGCGGTATGCATCTTACTCACAAACATACCGGTGCAATGACCGTACTACACCCGCTCTTCTGTGGAACCCACGAGGGTTTTATGAAGTTCGGACGAGAAAGTAGTATCAAAGCAAAGGTGTTCTGGTAATTTAGACATAAACCGAGAATCATTTGGTAATTTCTCAATGTATACGGTCACGATGAAAACTGACAGCGGTTGGTTTTGTTGTACTTTCATTTTCTCGGCTTTATACGACTCTTAAATGTGGGTCTTTGGTGGGCAAACGATCATTTGGTTGCTTGCTGCGCGCATTCTATCTTTCTCATTTAATATTCTTTTTTTCTATATTTTATCTTTTTTTTCACCTGTGTACTGACATGGATGTAAAAATCATTTGTAAAAAAAATAACTTATATATTTTAAATTCACTTTCAGATTGCCAAACACCCCCTTAGGCTGGATATAGTAGGGGGTGTGTTCGGCAGGGGTCAGAAAAATTAGTTTAATGCCACCGTTTTGCCTAAGAAAAGCTGAGCCACTCTCGGCTTAGTTGTATCCAAACACTATTTTCCCCAAAATGAGATTACGTTTGAGGAGTTGTCAAGCACGCCCCAAAAAAAAAATATCCAAGAATAGTATCCATGTTTTCATTAGTATGTGCAAGGGAAAGAAACATGTTTGCAGTAGATGACAAGTTTAGATCAACTCGTCAAGGTTGGGATGAAAATATGCAAATACTGCAATCATGAATTGATTCTCCAGCGGGGAAACCCATCGACAGTAATCATCAGCATGTCCGTCTGAAGTAAAACAAAATCCTCGAAAGTATTTCAAGCGTTCGACGCAAATAATGATCAAGCACAAAATCTCCTCTAATATGTGCATCTTAGTCACATAATAAATTGTTCTGAGCATTTACAATACAAGTTACACACAGCTCAAGAGCCAAAGACTATTACAAGCTAAGCGATCCTTATGAAGAGCTCTTCGCTCGGAGTCTCGCTTTAGGCTCTGCGGCAATTGCATCAATGAGATACTGGTCTCCACGTAACATTGAATAAATGTTAGGGAAAATATTAGGAAAGCGCAGAATAGGCTGAAAAGCTAAAGGGTTTTAGATGTTAGTCTCTCAAATCTTCTATAACTCCATATTAGTCCCTCAAAACTTTGGAATTGCTCAAATGCCCCCTCAACATTCAAAGGGGTCTTGCAATTTGTCCTTCGATGGCCAAAATATCACCCAGCTATTTTTTTGAACAAGAGGGATTTTGGAGGGAAAAGTACATCAAAATTCACAATTATCATAAGCTAATCAATGATTTTTATCAATTTTGGTTCGTTTCGATTTATAATGTGTACATCAAAATTTGTAATTTTCATGTGGACATATGATTTTTTTTTTTGTTGTTGCCAATTTTGATTCGTTTCAAATGAAAGTAAATTTATGATGTGTGCATCAAAATTTGCGATTTTTATAAGCTATAACCCATAATTTTTAATTTTGATTCATTTTGTACAAAAGTTAATTTATAACTTGTACATCAAAATTTTTATTTTTTATGGTCCCATGATTTTTAATATCTTTGGGTTTTTTTGAACGAGTACAAATAAAATATGTGTACATCAAAACTTATATTTTTCATGAGCTATAGCCCATGATTTTTGTCAATTAAGGTCTGTTTAGAATTATGTATACATCAAAATTTATGATTTTCATGAGACATAACCCATGAATTTTTTTTAATTTAAATTTATTTTGAATGAACCTAAATAAACATGTCTATATCAAAATTCGTGATTTTCATGAACCCTATGAATTTTATCAATGCTAGTTCATTTCGGATGAAAGTAAGTTTATTATGTGTATACCAAAATTTGCGTTTTTCAGGGATATAACTCACAGTATTTGACAATTTCGATTCATTTTGAATGAATGTAAATAAATTATGTGTACATCAAAATTTTTAATTTTTATGACCTATAACCCATGATTTTTTTGACAATTTTTGTTCATTTTAAATGAAAGTGAATTTATTATGTGCATATCAAAATTTGAAATTTTCATGAGCTATAACCCACAAAATTTTCAATTTTGGTTCGTTTTGCATGGAAATAAGTTCATTATGTGTACGTCAAAATTTATAATTTTTATGAATAATAACCAACCGAAGTTTTCAATTTTTTTATTTCAAAAAGAAAGTAAATTTATTATTTGTCCATCAAAATTTCCAATTTGCATGGGTAGGACCCACAATGTTTGACAATTTTGGCTCGTATTGAATGAATACAAATAGTTTAGGTGTACATAAAAATCATGATTTTCTTGAGCTATAACCCACAAATTTTTATTTTTAATTTGTTTCGAATAAATTTATTATGTGTATTTCAAATTTATGATTTTCATGGCTATAACCAAAGATTTTTTATAGTTTTTATTCTTTTTGAATGAATATAGTCTATATAGATAAAAATATGTGTATATCAAAATTTGCAATTTTAAGGCTATAACACACAATTTTTAAATTTTTTTTGTTAGTTTCGAATGAAAGTAAATTTATTATGTCTATATCAAAATTTACGATTTTTATGAGCTATAACCCACCAATTTTCATCAATTTTGCTTTATTTTGAACGAATCTAAATTAATTATGTGTAAATTAAAGTTTTACTATTTTCATGAGCTATTACTCATAATTTTTGTTTCCCTTTGAACGAAAATAAATTTAATATGCGTAAATAAAAATTTGAGATTTTTAGGGGCTATAACCCATGATTTTTTATTTTTTTATTCATTTCGAATAAATGTAGATAACTTATGTATACATCATAATTCATGATGTTCATGACCACCCATGATTTTTATAAATTTTGGTTCACTTCGATTGAAAGTAAATATACTTTATGTACATTAAAACTTAAGATTTTCATAGACTGTAACCCATGACTTTTTACCATATTGGTTCATTTTGAACAAATATAAATGAATTATGTGTACATCAAAATACGTAATTTTAATGAGTTATAACCTATGGTTATTGTCAATTTTTGTTCATTTCAAAGGAATGCAAATTTATGTGCACATAAATTTTTTGTGATTTTCATGGGGTATAACCCATGATTTTAAATAATTTTAGATTGTTGTGAATGAATATAAATAAATTATGTGTACATAAAAATTCATAATTTTCATGAGCTATAACTCGCACTTTTTGTTAATTTTGGGTCGTTTCCAATAATAGTAAATTTATGTGTATATCAAATTTTATGATTGTCATGGGCTATAACCCACAAATTTGTCAATTTTGGTACATTTCGAAGGAAAGTAAATTTACTATGTGCATATCAAAATCTATGATTTTCATGAGCAAGAACCGATAGAAGTTTGTAAATTTTGATTCATTTTAAACAAATATCAATACATTATATTATAGAAAAATTTTGATTTTCATGAGCTAACCCAAAATTTTAATCAAATTTGGTTCATTTTGAATGAAAATAAATTTATTATATGTGCATTAGAATTTGGGATTTTCATGATCCCACGAATTTTGCCCATTTTGGTTCAATTTTGAATGAAAGTAAATTTATTATGCATACATCAATATTTTTGTGAGCTATAACTCATAGATTTTTATCAATTTTAGTTCATCTTGAATGAATGTAAATTAATTATATGGATCAAAATTCATGATTTTGATAAGCTAACCCACAAATTTATTATTTGTACATCAAAAATCTACGATCTTATAAGCTACAAACCACAAATTTTGCTTTGTTTCGAATGAAAGTAAAATTATTATGTGTATATCAAAACTTATGATTTTAATGAGGTATGGCCTAAAGTTTTTTTTTTCAATTTTAGTTCATTTCAAATGAATGTAACTTAATTATGCGCATCAAAATTTAATATTTTCATAAACTATAACCCATTATTTTTGGATCATTTTGGTTTGTTTTGAATGAATGTAAATAAATTATATATACATCAAAATTCATGATTTTCATGGGTTATAATCCACGAATTTTGTTAATTGTGGTTCTTTTACGATGAAAGTAAATTTAGTGTGTGCACGTCAAAATTTGTGATTTTCATGTTTTGTGACCAATGATTTTTGACAATCTTAGTTCGTTTTTAAAAAATATAAATAAATTATGAGTACATCAAAGTTCGTGTTTTTATGAGCTATAACCTACAATTTTTTCAATTTTGGTTTGTTTTGAATGAAATTAAAGTTATTATGTATACACCAAACTTTATGATTTTTAGGAGATGCAACCCATAAATTTTGTTGATTTTGGTTTGTCTGGAACGAAAGTAAATTTACTGTGCATACATAAAAATTTGTGATTGCAAGGGCTTTTCGACCTGTTAGCATATAATTTCTTAGAGGCCAAAATTCACGAATTCATGAGCTATAATCCTCGATTTTTGGCGACTCTTAGTCATTTTGACCCATTGGTAAATAATTTTATGTATTCCAAAATAAAAGATTTTATTTGTCATAACCCACGATTATTTGCTATTTTTAGTCGTTTTGACCCACTGGTGTATAATTGATGGAGTCCTACTTCATGATTTCATAAGGTATAACTCGCGTTTTTTTGCTATTTTTAGTTCTTTCACCCGATTGGCAAATAATTTTATAGTGATAAAAATTCATGATTTTGTGAGTTATACCATAATTTTTTTATTGTTTTTAGTCATTTTGAACTATTGGACAAATAATATTGTGATGGCCAAAATTCATGATTTAATAAGCTATAACCTATTATTTTCGACCAAAATTTACAAATTTATGAGCTATATAACCCACGATCTTCGATCATTTTTAGTCTTTTTAACACATTGACAAATAATTTGGCAAATGCTAAAATTCACAATTTCATAAGCTGTAACCCATAATTTTTGGT